AAGGCAGAAAGACATCAGCTTGAGATGCTAAAATTTAGAAAATCTATATATCATGATTTTTTTATCTTCATAATTGTAAGATTTGAAGGCACTCTCATCTATACATTTCCATTTAATGCTGGCCCTGAGATGCTTCAGCAAGTATGAACCTACCACCTTCTGAGGCAAGATGTTTCACGGGCAAAGGTTTGCTCTGGCCTCATGCCAGAGGTGGAGTTCATCTGCATTCACACTCCCCACATTGCATGAAAGGCTGAACTTTGTACTAACAGGTCAGGATAAGATGCTGAGGGATGTGTTAAATATGTATTTTTTTAAAAAAATTAATGATGTTTTTAACACTGTTTGGGGCTAATTGTATTTTAATATCAATCTTTTAATTTACTGTGCTTTTAAACATGTGTTTTAGCTGTTACGTACCACCTTGAGTCCCTTCCCTGGGAGAAAGGCAGGATATAAATAAAGTACATTCAGTAAATAAACAGTGTCTGCATGATAGGGAAATAATATACCATTTAATGAACTAAACCTATTTGTTTAGTTCATTATATACCCGGCATATATAAACCCGGCATTTATATCTGGCTTTCCTTCAAGTGAAGTCAAGGTAGTGTATGTGGCTCTCCTTACCATTTTATTCTTACAGCAACATTTTGAGGTAGGACAGGCTGAGAGAGGGGCTCAAGTTTCATGGGCGAATGGTGGTTTGAAACCAAGTCAATTAATCTGACACAGATTAACCACTACACCAAACTGGCTAGTAGTTGATGAAATGCAACATGTACCCCACATCACACTTTCCAGGGGAGGCCTTGAACTTTTTAAGAGGATGCTGGGGGAAGGACGGTCCCAACATTTTTTGCTATCTGGAACAAAGGACAAGAAGACGGAGCAGAACTGGACTGGACTGGCAACTGGACTTCTATGTTGTCAGCCTAGCATGTTCACCTATGCCTGAGAGAAGCAAGTTTATTCAAGCGGTGCAGGACAAGCCATGTGGTATAGGTAGTACAGTGCTTCCAGAGAGGACAGCCAGTTGACTCGAGAGAAGCTATTCCAATAGGTATAAGAGTTATACTGTACATGGATTCTGAACTACTCAGCTGCCTGGCGCCCAAACCCCAGGGTTGTTGAAGGAGAAGTGTGCCAAAATAGCTTTTTCTCCAGAATTTCTCGTTGGGAAGTGTTCACACTGGAGTAGTGATAATTAAAGTAACATGAAGTGATTCATTCTCACCGTTCCCTATGTCCTCACTTTTCCCTCACAAGCCTTCAGAGTTGCCACTCAGGGTTGAACTCCATATGACATTATACCAGTACTTGAAACAGTACGTTTGATGTTGGTTTGAGGGCCACAAACCGTGACACCACTTTGAGGGGAAAATATCCAGCAGCCGACACCTTTTGATTACAGCTTTCCCATAGCAGCTATAGAATATTTTGTCTACTGAAGATATAAAAATAAAATGGAGGAGGGACTAGAAATGGTGGCAAGTCAGAAAATATGACAGATATAAGACCCGCAGACAGAGAGGGAAGGTCTGGTAAATCCATAGGAGGAAAGAAAGTGGTGGAGATCGGATGGCCTTAGGACAGCAGTGGTTCCCAACCTTGGGTAATCCAGGTGTTCTTGGACTGCAACTCCCAGAAACCCCAGACAGCACAACTGGTGGTGAAGGCTTCTGGGAACTGTAGTCCAAGAACACCCGGGTTACCCAAGGTAGGGAACCACTGGCCTAGGAGATGGAGGGGATGAGACATCAGCAACCTTGCAGACAAGCATATTTGAGCTATAATCTCACCTTGCTCAATTTTGTTTTTGGAGAGGAACCTGGGCCCTTCCAGACCTTGTTGAACTATAACTCCTATCATCCTCGAGGAGTCCGCTGGGGCTGCTGGGAATTGAAGCCTGCGAAATTCTGAGAGCCACCTGTCCCTTTCCCTGAATTGCTGTGTGTGAATTAAGTGACCTTGAGCGACCAGTTTAAAACAGGAGGAAGTCTCTCCAGCGCGCAAAAGACCAGAGGGCGGCACGTAACTCAAGTGCATATAAAGCAATGCGTGCACACACGCACACACCCGGGGGAAGGGCTGGTCTCCTCCCCACGTGCTCCTTCCTCGCCTCCTGCTGCCCCCGCGATGCAAGAGGAGGGAGACAGCGCCCCGATTCCAAAGCACCGGCGGACTGAGCGAAGCCGCTGCAGAAACGGCGGCTCCCGCGCCACCTCCTTTCCTAAACCGACAGGTGCCCAGAGCGCAGGTAAGCCCAAAGGGGCTCCTCTCCACCGGTCTGACTCTCTTGCCTCTTCTCTGACCGGGCAGGATCGGGCGCGGGGCGCGGCAGGCATCGTGGGAAACTTTCGCAGCTTTCCCCGCGGGGAGATCCGAGGCTGGCACCGGAGGAGCGGCACCGATCCCGCCCGCCCAGCCCCGGGGAGTTGGATCGAGCTCTGACGACGCGCTGCCTCTGCTCCGGATCCGGCGCTTGCAAGCGATGCTCGCGGGAGCCGCCGCAGAAGGAGCCGACCAAGCTTTGATGCCAGCCGAGCAGAGGCGGGGACCCTGCGGGACGAAGAGCGATTGAAGCGTCTCCTGGGCAGGAATCGAGAGCGCGCCCTCTGATGGAGAACGCCTCTAATGACAGCCGTGCACCGGTGGAGCAGCAGCCGGAGGAGGCCGGCGCTCATAGCGGGCAGGTGCTGGCAGGTTGCTTGCTGGCGCTGCTGGTGCTGAGTACCCTGGCGGGCAACAGCTTGGTCTGCCTAGCTGTTATCCGGTCGCGCCACCTGCGTGCCAGAGTCACCAACTGGTTTGTCCTGTCGCTGGCTGTCTCCGATCTCTGCGTGGCCCTTCTGGTGATGCCCTGGAAGGCTGTCACTGAGGTGGCAGGGGGGACCTGGCTCTTTGGCGCCCGCTTTTGCGACACGTGGGTGGCCTTTGACATCATGTGCTCCACCGCCTCCATCTTCCACCTCTGCATCATCAGCTTGGACCGGTACTGGGCCATTGCCAGCCCCTTCCGCTATGAGCGGCGCATGACGCGCGGGGTGGCTTCTGCCATGATCACCTTGGCCTGGACCCTCTCCCTGCTCATCTCTTTCGTCCCGGTGGAGCTCCATTGGCACAAAGCCGAGGAACGGGGCCGCCCTGATCCGCCACACCGCTGCGACACGCGGCTTAATCCCACCTATGCTGTCACCTCTTCCTTGATCAGCTTCTACATCCCAGTCTCTATTATGATTGGGACCTACACCCAGATCTACCGCATCGCTCAAGCTCAGATCCGCCGCATCTCCTCACTGGAAAAGGCAGGAGGCCTGTGCTCGGCTCAGGGGAAGGAGCCTGCATCTTCCCTGCGCACCTCGCTGTGCAAGGAGACCAAGGTGCTTCAGACTTTGTCCATCATTGTGGGGGTCTTTGTCTGCTGCTGGCTGCCCTTTTTCTTCCTCAATTGTCTATTGCCCTTTTGCGACTCCAAGCCAGACAAGGAAGGCCGACTTTCTGGTCAAGGCCTCTGCGTGAGCCCGGCTGTCTTCAATGTTTTCATGTGGTTGGGCTGGGCCAACTCTTCCCTCAACCCAGTCATCTACGCTTTCAATGCAGACTTCCGGCGGGCATTCAGCAGCTTGCTGGGCTGCCCCCAGTGCCCTTGTGGGCTTCCCAGCAGTTCCGCCGTTGAGAGAGTCAACTTGAGCAATGAGCTGGCTTCCTACCACCACAACTCCTCCTGCCACAAAAGCAGAGGAAGCGGCCCTTTCCCATTGCCATCGCCCATGCTTGCTGCCTGGAGCCAGCCGCTGCCTCACACTGTGGACTCTCAAGGAGAGGAGGAGAATTGTGGCGAACCCCTGCTTCAGAAAGAGAAGCTACCATCGTGTCAGGTCATTCACAGGAGTGAGGCCACAAATGTTAGCCAGAGAGCTTTGCTCCCGCTTGAATGTGAAATGGAGGTCTCTTTAGAGACTATCACTCCCTTTACAGAGATCACTGGACACTAGAGTGTCTATAGACCCATCCAGGAAATGTGTCACGGTCATATCTGTGGATGGATGGGACCATTTAGAAACTTCCCTTGTTCTTTAGTCAAAAAGAGTTGGGCTACGTGCTCTGGCACCTTGTGGTCAGCCCATGTGTGTCTTGAGATGTCCTCAAGAAACGTGTGAGGACAACAGCTCTCTTCCCTGCTATTTGGATGGAGTAGCTTGCTGCTTCTAAGGGCAGAAGCGGACAAGAGGGCAGTTTTGTGATTAGAAGCACATCTCCCTTAAGAGTGAATAGACTTTTGTTTTTTTTCCCCTATGAATTAGATATTTTTGTATCAGTTTGGAATCAATTTGCAAGTTCATTTTGTAAATGGTGGAATAATGTTTTGTCACTTTCTAACTGTGAAGTTGCCCTCTTTTCTATTTCTGCCCTGATACTGGAGGTGGCCTGTAGCCATTATAATTGCCCGCCATAAATTTGGAACAGTTCAAGATGGAGACCCTGTTCCTCCTTTGTTTTCCTCATAATGGTTGCCACTGGTTGGCATTTGACCAGTCTTTTTCTCTGTAGGCCTGTGTCTGGGCCATGTCAGGTTGCAAATGGGGCTCACATAATGTTACAGTGTACTGGTTAGTGCCACTAGAATTTGGGAGAGCCCAGATCTGGTCCTTGGTGAGCAATAAAAAAATTCCCCAAGTGACCTTGGCCCAGTCACACTCTTGGGCTGAGAAGATGTGGGCTGTGGTGAGGAAAACAACCAGACAGAGGAGGAGGTGAGTTTTGGGTTCAGTGGAGGAAAGGTGGTGAGTTATAAACGTAATTAATACATACAGTATATAACTATACTTATAGCATGGGTGCCCAATTGTAATTTTAATTTACCACTTTGACATCACAAGTCATCCTTTGTGCAAAATCCAGATTCCATCCCGGAAATGACCATGCATGGAAATAATTTCCACATCATATTTTAAGCATTTCTGCACACTTGGGTTTTCATTCGTCTTATCCTGTTTCTAATATCTCTGGTTGTGCCCTAACCTTAGAAGAATATTTTTAGACCATGGATATTTTTATTTAAGCATTTATTTAGTGTTAGAATTAGTATTGTACTGGATACACAACACAGAGTTTACTTCAAATGCATTATGTGAATCCATGGATCTGTCACGTGTGCTTTGCATGCTTTGTGCTAAGCATGCTATTACTTCTTTTGAATTTATGATCGTTTAATTATGTTATTTCTCACAGGACTATTTTTGTTGTAAAGACCAGTGTGTGGAAGTTGATTGGGAAATGCAGCAGTAGGTTTGAGGAAAGGGCAGAGAATATACAGAACAGATGCTGTGTAAAAGGGCTTGGAGAAGCTTGAAAAACAAAAGGAGAAAGGGCTTCTTAGGGTTCTGTTCCAGTAGGCAGAGGGACCCTGTAAGTTAGGCTAAAAGGAGAAACCCTTTGGTCCCCCCACATGTTCTGAGTTACAGTTCCCACCAGGAGTCATGCTGAATGGAGTTGAATACCAAGCCTCAGGAAGGCTGATTTTCTGCACTTCTGATGTAAACAACTTTTCCATTTGAGGCTTCCACAGAGTTGGGGTAGTATTTAATTAACTGGGCAGGGCAGGGCCTGATTTGACAGTCTCCTCCCATGGAACTATCCCGCCTTTTGTGACTAGGTCAGTCGCGCAGTCTTTCAAAATTTGCTTGGAATTAAGTTCAGTTGGGCACACTCCCAGGTAAACAGAACTTGGGGGGGAAATTTTAAACAACATATTCCAGAATATCTAGCCCTCATGCCCATTGGCTAGCCTAGTTGTGTGATTCTGGGATATATAGTTGGGGAAAGTAGCTTTTTTGAGAGCTCTGCAGGTGAAGACGCGTATGTTAGCAACCTGCAGTGTTACAACGGAGTCTGCAACTAGCCAAGCAAAATCCTACCTGCATAGATGTGTTGGCAATGAGTGGTCTGGCTTTGAAGGTGTGTGCATGTTGGGGGTGGGGAGAGAATGACTAGGCTACAATACTGTACTTAATTCCAAGACGGTGCTGTTGGAAGGGCTGAAGTGTGCCTTGAAAAATGAAGCCATTCTCAGATACCATCCACTGTTATATTCCCTCTGGAGGAGGAGCAGGCAGGATTGGCCAGAGCTTGGAAACAAAACTGTTTTGGACTACAACTCCCAGAATCCTCTGGCCAGCTTCACCAGCTCAAGAAAGCAATATTTTCAGGCTCTGAGACAAGCCCAAGGCATTTTTTTTGGCCTGAGGCAAAGCAGCAGATTAGGCATCCTTCAGTCTCGAGAGACTATGGTAACGTGCTCTGTATGGAGGACTTGGAACAGCAACAGATGGCTGTCTTTTCAAGCAGGTCAAGGTGCAGAGTTCCCCTGACAGGCCATCTTGTTTTGGCCTGTGAGGGAGACCCTTGCAAAACCAGTTTTCTCTTTCCTTGGCCAGGAAAAACAGATCACAATAAGTCTTCATGAAACCTAAGGCTCACAAGCAGAGGCAGCCAGCCACCTGCCTTAGGGCAATGGTAGTGCCAACTCAGAGAAAACGGCAAGGTACTTCTCAATTCCTCTCGTAGCAATGGTTAAAGACTGGATTGAGAGGAAACACCTCAGCAGATGAGAAGATGGACGGTGTATTGCCTGTTACCCCCACCATCCCTGTTTTTTTAAAAAAGATATATCTAAATATGCACTTTAAGAGTATGATGGTAAGTCTATGTAAATGTTGTCCTGGCATTATGCAGTAGTCATTTTATATGGTATTTTGCTGCTCTCAACTTTCAGCCGTACAGTCTCTAAAGTGAATTCAGATTCTATGATCCAGCAACCTGAAACCTTTCATTTTTTTGGTTGCTATATTAAATATTATCATAGGCAACTACGGAATTGTGTTTGTGTGTGTGCGCTCGCGGGCGCATGTATCCTTCGTGCCTAGGCCATAACCCTGATCTTCAAAGAAAGAGAGAAAAAAGGAAAACTCTCAGCAGTGTAAAGCGCCTGAGGCCAGCATGATTCCTCAAGCATCGCATTTCTCTCTAAGGCGGCTTGGGCTGTGCATTTAAAACATAAGGTACTGCCACAGCATTGAAATGCATACAATTAGACATTGTGCTTATCTTGGGCATGTCACGTTAGTGGGACTTCACTGTGAGACCTCTCATGATTATATGAATAAGAATGTAAGTATTTGCTTTGCTTTTGTTCTGCTTCCTGGACAATAAAATCTCCTAGAAAAAATACATTTTTCTGGGGTGGGGGGGCAGAGGATCAAGTCAGCTATGATTAAAGAAACCTTGAAAATCCTGACACAATTTTGACAACACTATACTCTTTCTATTTGAATCAGAGTCTCATTATACACCCATGTCGATCAAGCATGCTGTTTCTGTCTTGTGTCAATGACAAAATTAATGGGAGCAGCAACATTTTGCTCACATTAATTCTTAGTATTTGTGCCAGAGGCAGTAGTCACACCTGGCAATAAGTACAGAACAGCTGGACAGAATGCAAGCCCAACTCTAAGGCCTAGTATAGCTACGAACCCAAATTATAGAGGTAAATGCAGTTTTATAGTTATATCCCCCCCCGCACACAAATCTGTGAATAAAATGTTGGTGGTGCCATAGTTTCTCCAGGCTGCATGAGGAGAAGACTTTTGACGGAAGCAGTGCTTAGATTTTCAGAGCCAGTGAACCTGCATTTACCTCCTCAGAGTACAGTACAGTATATGGAAAATAATTTGACCCCCTTCTTACTTTACAGTACAAACTTTGGTATGTATTGTCTACTCAAAAGTGAACCTCACTGAGTTCAGTGGTGCTTGCTTCCAGGTACATGTGTGTACAATTGCCTTGTTAAATTTCAGTCTTCAAAGGTACTTGATATAATCTGAAGTCATGTCTGCACCATGAGAGAAAAAAAATTTCTACTTAAGCATACTCATCATCATCTAGTAATTTAGTCATGTCCGACTCTTCGTGCCCCCATGGACCAGAGCACGCCAGGCCCTCCTATCTTCCACTGCCTCCCGTAGTTGTGTCAAATTCATCTTGGTTGCTTCGATGACACTGTCCAGCCATCTCATCCTCGGTCGTCCCCTTCTCCTCTTGCCGTCACACTTTCCTAACATCAAGGTCTTTTCCAAGGAGTCTTCTCTTTCCATGAGATGGCCAAAGTACTGGAGCCTCAGCTTCAGGATCTGTCCTTCCAGTGAGCACTCTGATTTCCTTTAGAATTGATAGGTTTGTTCTCCTTGCAGTCCAGGGGACTAAATTAGTTTTCTCTACTCTTAACAAATAACTGACATTACAGGTAAATGTCATCTGCTCTTTTGAATGCCAGTGGTGTCTTTGTGTGCTACCAATTCTTCAAAAATATACAGTATTCTTCTTCTTCTTCTTCTTCTTCTTCTTCTTCTTCTTCTTCTTCTTCTTCTTCTTCTTCTTCTTCTTCTTCTTCTTCAGTGTACCAGTAGCCAACAAAGGGTGGCCAGAATGGGGGAGATGTGCTGAAATTTCTTCACCCCAGTTATTAATCTGGCAGCTGAATTCTGAACTAGTCTTAGTTCCATTGCTGTGGAACTAAGGGGAAAAAGTAATGTTCCTTCTGGTTGGGTAATTAAATAGAGGAATCTGCTGGCATTTGATTTGGCTGGCAGTTATTTTTTTAAAAAATAAAATTTCTATTGTAGCAGAACTGGCTAATTTCAAAGACAATTACACTTTCAGAGGGCTTGAACAGTTTTTCTGAGTTTGTAAAAAATTCATAGCCATTTAGTTTCCATTAAAAGTTTCAAAACTTGTACTTTTTTTAGCAGGATATATTAAAGTGTTATCCAGGGTTGCAAAATAAATCTGAAAATTATATAATGTTATGGTGCATCATTTCACTGTTCTGAAATAGTGGCAGTTCTTTGTGAAAGAAAGGAGGATGCATCCATCTGCTATACTTGAGCTCAGAATGAACCTCTTGTCAAGAATCCTGCCAACACCTAAGCTGCGATGTGTCACTTTCCCCCATTCTCTCTCCAAAAGTGCATCTGCGTATCTTTATTCGTATTGGAGCTTTGCACAATTTAAAATTATGGATGCATATCACATAACCCAGACATATTAGCTACTAAATCCAATTTAAAATAGACTGACAGTGAAGACAAAGCACAATTTCAAAGCTATTACATGGCTTTTTGCTTGAAATTTGTCTGCTTTTAATTTTTTTAAATGTTATCTTCCATTTTTAATATAAATACTTATTGTTTATTATTTATGAATCATCTCTTTTTTTAAAACAACAACAACATATTTTTATGTTAAACGATAAAGCCCTTTCAGGCATACATGGTCATCCTGTTATGTCAGCAATTGAGAAGCTCACTAAAGACATTTTTAATGGAGTGAACCATTCTCTGTCTAGGATCAAGGAAACTGATTCTGTAAGTTTGAAACAGAATTCTGATCTGCTCAGGTCTGATTGGTTAATGTCTGTGATGTCCCGACTCACCTCTTCCCCAGAACAATTCCTGCTCAGGAAGAAGAGGCTCCAGTTTCTCAGTGGTGACATTTGTTGGGTGATTAGGTCTGTCACTCTCTCTGAGCCCGACTACCCATTTGAAGGAAAAATATGATCTGAGAGCTTGGAGAAGTTACTTCTGAAAGTGCCATTCCCAGAATCCTCCAGCCAGTGTTTCCCAAGTTCTGCACCATCCAAATCATCACCAAGAAAGCATGGAATAATAAACATGTTACTGGAGAATGAAGACAATAATTCTGTTTGGGGGGAAAATACAGTCCCAAAACAGCAAATGTGGGGACAGCGATATAATGCTAGATAGGATAAAAATTAAGGATTGTTTACATAAGTGGGTGCCTTTTGGATTAATTTCCCCTTTTCTAAAAATGAGCTAAAATGAGAGGATGGATGGTCTCAGTTACAAATCAAATAGCAACTCCTGGGAGCTGTCTCCTAACACGACTCTTCACCAGACTGCAAAAATCATGAATGTAGATAGCTAGTACTGTATGTTCTTGCAGAAAGAAGGGAGAGAAAAAAGAGACCCCTCTTTCCTTGAATCTCAGAGCATTGTGTGAGCTGGCTGCATGTGTGTCCCAGCTATATTTTTGGAAGACAGGGAACAGGCATTTCCTGAGAGGTGAATTGGAAACACAGCTTGGCAAAAGGTCCATGTTGGACCAGATATCCCAAATGTGCTGGCTACGGGATTTGGAGTGTTGTAGTTCAAAGCAACAAGAGCAACAAAACACTTTTCCATGTGTTGGTCAGACTCAATATCCTCTGCAGATGGGTTGCACAAACATGCATCAGACCACACAAACAATTGTGACTTAAGTGAAGTGGCTGATCATTGGTTTTTCTTGCAAAATTGAAGCTATCCACACTCTTTTTAGGACATCTTGGGGGGGGGGGAATTAACCAGTTTATAAAGTAATTTTTATCAATTACAGTGGGGTCTTGACTTAAGAACGGCTTGAGTTAAGAACATTTTGACTTAAGAACCTCTCTCATAGGAAAATATTGACTTGACTTACATACTTAGATTTGAGTTAAGAACTGAAAAAAACCACGTGGGAGGCAGGGAAAGTGCAAAATTTGAACTTTCAGTTAACTGTTAGCCAGTGAAAAGGGTGCCTGTCTGCTTCCTCACTCTTCCCAGTGTTTAGAGAGTGGATTGGGAGACAGTCTTCAGACTGCCTGGTACTGTACTGCCTAGACTGGATTTTCCTTGCCTTCCCTGAACCTTTCTTGACCTAAGAAACAAAGAAACAAAATATCCCCCTCTAGTGGTCGAAGGCAGAATAGCAGCTTCCCATTAGTTTCTATGGACGTAAAAGAGCAGATACGGATCAAATGGTTTTCAATGCATTCCTGTGGGAAATGCAGATTTGACCTGAGAACTTTTTGACTTGAGAACCGCCTTCCAATACGGATTAAGTTCTCAAGTCAAGACCCCACTGTATTCAATTCCAACTGTTCTCACTTGTATTCACCTGAAATTACTCAGAGAACTACTACACCATCCTTATGATTGTACATTTGTACAGCAGCAGCCATTAAACTACTTTCTTTAACTAAGGCTCACAGAGGTTTCTTTGAAGGTTTCTTTGAAGGTTGCTTAAAATAAAGCAATTTAAGACTCTGCTTGCAATTGAATCTCCTCCTCTTCCTCCTCCTCCTTTGTCTTGTTCTTCTATTATATTGATACTCCTTAATCTTGCCCTTTAGAGAGAGATGCAGATATTTGTCTGATGTCCAAAATTAAAGGTTATAATTGTTTTACCATAAAGAAGAAGAAAGAAATGAAGGATTGGTCTGCTAGTAATACCTTAAATTCCTTGTCTAAGAAAAAGAAAATAAGTTAGAACTGAGGTTAAATAACACACATCTCACTAATAGCTTGTTTAATATTGATTTTTAGCTTCGTGGCTTGTGAGGTCTGTGGGAAGCAGCAGAAAACAAGCCGAGAACATACCTCCACCTCCACATTCATTTCCATCATCCACCCCACCCCATCTCCCTTCTTCTGATACACCTCCACATATGTCCATCCTGGTCATGCTAACAAATGTTCTAGTTTTTTTCCTGCCATCTCGGCGTTTATGTTGGAGATACTTCCAAACTCCTGTGCATTATTGCAACAGCTCTTCTGATTATTTGTTCAGAGGGAAGGAAGGGGAAATGGGAACCTGCTGTTGTTGCTTTGTTGATGAGGATTATGGTGATTTTTTTGGCTGAAGTGAAACCTGAAATGGGGAACTCTTGGGTTCACTGTTTTAAGGTGTTTTTAAACTTAAAGTTCCAAGTAAAACTCACTTCAATAGGTTAATCAAATAGAGATGTCCACAACCTTCAGTTAAAAAAAAGCATGGCCAAATGAGTCGAAAGCACGGATATTTGTAGAGAACACTCAGAGAAAATACAGGGTCGTTCAAGAAGCCTCCATTTGACTGCTCAGATCACAGCAGTTTGTTCCAGCTTTTGGAGGGTTAAAAATACTAAAATCTGAACAATGCTTGGTGCTGGTTGTTGTAGCAAAAGAATGAGGTCCCAAACCTGAAGGGGATTGATAGATGATACCTCAATGAAAGCCAAACTCTTTCCTGGAAACTCTACCACAGTGGTCCCCAACATTGGGCCTCCAGCTGTTCTTAGACTACAACTCCCAGAAGCCTACACCACCACCTTTACTGGCCAGGATTTCTGGGAGTTGAAGTCGA